GGTTCCAGATTTGTGACCTCCGGTCAGCGCGTCGGAGGGCAAGCTTGTGTTAGTGTAGGCGAGTGTGCAGTTGTTTGCCTGTCTCACCTATGTAGTGTTGGTTGCAGCCCAGGCACGGGATTGCGTAGATTACTCCTGATCGTTCGTGGTGTTCGACTCAATCCTTGCCGTTGAAAAGGGATGATCGCACGGTTGCTGCCGGTATATGGGCGATCTTGATTCCCAACGGTCGGAATATTCGTTCCGTGGCTTCTGACGTGCCGCGTTATCCACGTTCCTTCTTTTGTGTGTGTTGTTTGTTTCTTACCTCCGAGGCACGCTTTGATAAAGCCCCTGAGATATCCGTTGATTAGGAACAGTTGAAAGAGACGATTTCTTTTTCTTGTCCTTAACTCCGGTGTGCTACAGTGTGTGTTTGCTCGGCGGAATAGAGTTCGCATACAACTTTTTAGGTGGCACAAAGGGTGACTGCTGTTGTAGTTGAGGATGCGGTCCGTCGTGGTCGGTTTTCGGTAGACTGTGGTTTGGATTGTTCCGTCGGATTGCCTCATGAGAAAGATATCGAGGAAGGAGAGTTGTCCATCTTTTTTTTCCTCTCGTGTGTAATTGATACCGGGCACGTGCTCGTTGATCATTTGGTGGAACTGATCTACTGTAGAGGTTCTGAGTATGACGAATGTACCGTCCACATAACGTATCCACAGACGAGGTTGTAGAATTTCAAAGGCTTTGGCTTCGAAGTGTATATAACCGCATCATAACCGCATCCGCAGGCAGCCCTGAGAGTGGTGAACCCATTGGAGTTCCTCGTATCTGTTGGTACACCTTACAGTCAAATTGGAATTGGTTTCCATACAGAGTTCTACGAGTTTCATCATTTCTTCCACAGAAAGTTTCGTTCTTAATTGCAAATTTTGGTCGTTTTGCAACAAGTGTCGGATACTTTCGATGGCCATTTGCTTCGAAATATTGGTGAACTGTGAGGTCACATCGAAAGAGACCATCACCTCATCTGGTTCAATGGTCAGTCCCTTGATGCGTTCCAGGAATGTTGTAGGACTTTTTGCATTATTTTGGTTTGCAGGTAGGAATAAGCGCAGTAGTTGGAAGAGGTACTTTGCGAGATTGTAGTTGGGTGCTGTTGTGGATGCGACAATGGGTTGTAGTGGTACATCGGGTTTGTGTAATTTCGGTCGTCCACAGAACAGTGGTATCGGACCTTGTGTGGGTTTGACTCGTGTATATTCTTCATCCGTTAGTTTCTTGTTTTTCTTGAGAGTGGAAAAGGATTTCGTTAGTTGATTCGTCAGCTGCCTTAAGGGGTTCCCGTTGACCGGTTGATTTATATATATATATATATATATATATATATATATATATATCACACATGCATGATGCCAGACTGAGCCAAACAAATCATGCTACATTATTAGTTATAATAAGAAAGGCGTTCCATGATTCACACGTGGGCTGAATAATGCCAGGCTGCTCCGGCCAAGGCAGGTGAATTTTCTTGAGGAATCCAACACCGGAGCTTTCGGCTAGCCAAAGCCTGCCCTTAAAGCAGCGGGGCGATGTGGAAACGGATATCTATTGGAGGCCGGCGTCCAGTTCATTGAATCATATGCCCTTTGGACGGGGTCAAACGTCCAAGGTGCACAATATGCCTTGATGCCCAATCGAGCCGGTGACCGAGGAGGGTGTAGGTGAGTATGATTCGTACGCCTCCTCTTGGATGGTTTGGAATCAAGGTTTTTGGTCAACTCCCCTAGATGAACTACTACTGATGCGAGCATAAAGCAATTTTGCAAGCATATCAAAGGGCAATAACCACATGGGAAAGTAAAACAGTCAGTATCAACTATTATTCGGTTGATCGGTAATAACTACAAAAAATAAATAGGCATAGAATGAGTCTGGACTGGTGATCTGGACAAGATGAGTAATAATAAGTTACCCGGGTTCCTAGTTTCGCTATCAAACGACCATGGCAGTACCTTGATCGGAGTGAGCGGTAATTATATAATCGATTGATTGAATCTCGTGCATTTGTCGCACCAATGCCTTTTGAACTTCAGTATGTTGTCAAAAGAAACGGAAACTTCCAAATTGACAAAAATTGCAGCACGATAAACAAAAAATGGCTACACTGAACGAGATGATAAACCATATAAACTGCACACAAATCAAAACCTAGGACAGGCTCAAGTGATAAGAAAAAAAACCCTCCAGTCTATATGAAACTGTACCCAGTTGAGTGCAAATAAGGACCCATTGGAGGGCTGAAAAACTTTTAGCCATTTAACGCATATGCAGCCTGTAAGAAGTCACTGACAAGCGATAACATCTTCGTAAACAGCAGCAGCAGCTGTAGAAGTGGTAGTAGTAACGTTAGCAAATGTACGTGAGTATGGCAAGCGATCACACTGCCAACCGAAAATTGTCAAGATATGATGGGTGCAAGATGACACCTACAATATGCAAACTGATGATTCACTTGGTTGCCGCACATGCGCGAAAATGCAAAAACGAAGCCAGGGGTCATCGAATTCTGTTGCGTCAGCAAAAAAGTATGTGTACACGGAGCAAAACAGCAGTTCACGAACCCCTTTCCGTTAGACGGATAGTTAAGAATGTGGAACGATGGACGCGGCACGGATCTAAAGGAGACAGACAGGTCATCAATTTGTGACCGGATAGTTGTGTGGGAAAGATCTTGTCGCAGAGATGGAGCTAAAGAAGTATCACGAAATAAAGCCGATTTCCCATTAAATGATTTCTGACGAACTGAATACTTCAGAGGTTTGCGCTTCAATGATTCGATTTATGAAAGACTGAGAGATAAAATGAATACACTCCCTGAAAATAAAGATGAAAACGAGGAATATTTTGAGGAAAACA